GACAGTAATGTTACTGTTAGATAGTAACTATAAGATAATGTACATACATTCTGTAATATAAAGTTTATGTTAGATAATTTTGTATGTAACACACAAGTCATCTGTTATGTTTTAAGTATAAGTTGGTTAAACTTGTTTCACAGATTCAAGGTATATGGTTCCTAGTCGTATAACTACTAATTTTTGTAATTACTAATTCCAAATAATACTACACATTTAGTTTAGTTGCTTGATGTATGATACGATCTCAAGTAACAATGCAAGGACAATATTCGTTTCTATGTTATTCATATGTACAACAGAAAACTTTTGGCTTTTTACCTTTCTGTGTGAAGGAACTCGTGTCACTTACAACACCGAAACAATTCTTTTCTCCACTAGCAGTGCTGGAGGACAACATTTAAAGAGAAGTGCCAACGGAACATGCTTCCATGCCACGTTTCGTCAAAGGAAAGCTGAATCGTGCTGGCAATTAACTTCCGGTAACAAATGTTCGGTAAAATGGCGGTGAAAACAAATTGATATTAACTCTACATAGTACACGCAGAAATTTGATTTATGTAAAGAAGTATTTAAGTAATTTTTTGTTAACATTACTTTATACCCACGCAAATACATACGTAGATTATGTCAAGCATTACTTCGATTTTAAACTATCAAAAGACTCTTCACTTTATATGCATCAAAATATTACGTTAAATTGAAGATTGAATCCATTATTCGTGTTCATCAATTCTTTGTCTCATCATATTTATTGTTGATACACTATTTATATGTATAATGGCTGCAAAAGTATATCAACCGGACCAAGAATTAGAGACGAAGGTTAAAAAAGGTTAGGATTTTTATGATAATATATACAAGCAATTTAATAAAATAATAATATTTTATTCTTTAACATTTCAGCTACAGAGCGTATTTCTGAAAATATGCACATAGTTGCAAATGAACCATCACTTGCTTTCTATAGACTTCAAGAACATGTACGGAAAGCATTGCCTCCTATGGTAGAGAAACGTGTTGAAGTACTTACTCTCCAGCAACAACTTTTAGGTAGATGTTATGATGTAGAGTATGCAGTAAGCGCTATTAAAACGATGCACGGTGCTGGGAAGAGTTTTGAGAACACTCTGGAATTCATCAAGAATGCAATATTTTTTAAACAACAGTTGAAATATGAAGAACAGCGTAGACACAAGAAAGACAGCAACAGAGACTCCGTTTATAAAAGATTATCCGCACACATTCCTACTCTGGATCATTTACCAGATGAGATATCTGATGTTGTAAGGGAAACTGCTAATAGAGTAGAATCTATGATGAATCATGCCAGATATTCTACAGAAGTACAAAAAACCAATTGAATTTTAAATGATGATTTATTATATTAAAGTAAGATATATTGTTGTAAAATATTAATAAAATCACTATAAGTGATATCATGTTATCAAAACTTTATGTATAGTTAGAAGCTGTATAAAAAATATATATTTAATGTACAATATTTAATAAAGCTATTGTTACGCATGCCCTTATATTACAAGTATTTTTATAATTGTACGTTGATATGTTTTAAATTGTATTATGCGTGGTTCAATTCCATTGAAATGTCGATGTTTTTTTGAAAGGTTTTTTTACTTTCCCGCCATATCTAGTATAAATACGGAAGTTTTTGGAATTGTTCTCGAGAGGCACGAATGAGGTGAATGACGTAAACAGAATTATGCCAAAGTTGCGAATCAGCAACTGTGCGCAAGCGCTACAATGTCATAAGGGTTATATGGGCAAAGGGGTAAACGCACAAATTGAAATTTTGGTCGGTTATCGAACTAATGCGATCGGCAACCAGTCCATATTATTAAATACTGATAGTTTCGGAGTTTTATAGGCTTAACAAATTGTCAATTTACTCAAATTGATTAAATAAATGGTTATATTTACATCTTTCACAATCTCTGTACATTATAGTTTTTGAATTCGACACATGCGCACTAGCATCAACTCTCACTTTTGGTATCGAGATATTGGCTACGCTCTACGCTTCGTTCAGTGTATAAGAAATAGGCTTAAGCAGTCCATGAGATATATGGGCGAACACATTGTATATTGTATCACAGTATATACTGTGACTGTGACTGTAGTATACATGAATACGGAAACGCTTGTGAATTTTCGGAGTTGTGCACAAAAATGTTAACTAATATATGAAATTCAGATTGAGTAATCGATTGAGAAATGGTGTATGTTATTATCTTCCAACCATGATGCCTATGTGAAACATGTTTGATTGCGGAACAAGTTCTATGGTATGTTGGCCACTTCCTTTAGGTTATATATTTCTATTTTCTATTTGAAAAATTGTATTACATTTTTCAGGAGAATCTCATTTTTAACTGAGTCTCCTATTAATAATTTTTACGTCAAAACATTAAGTGATAAAGTATTTGACTTGTTTTGTTAATTTGATATAATGTGGGATACTACAATGTCACGTATCTGAATTCTAATTATTGCATGTTTGCAAATTATTCACACTAGAATTTTATGAAATTAACAGAAATAATAATAAAAATTTGTATGGAAATGAAAGATAGAACAATAACCATAAATTAAAATATTCTTATATAATCTCTTACTTAATATAAAATATGTATATACTCAATATAACATAATATTATGACATATAAACTTAAAAAATGTGCATTACGTGTGAAAAGAATTTTCAAATAGATTTGGAATATATAGGTATATTATGATATATTACTGAATGACTACTGATAATCCTGTACAGAAATTTCCTATTCATCCATATGGAATTTCTGAACAAACTATAGACACATAGTAAATGAATATGCTGTACGCGTTTCTTAAGAGAAACCGCGCAAATTCTTTGTCATTATAAAATCACGAGTGCTGTGTCTTGTACGGACTTTAAATTGCAGTTACTAAAAATAAGACTATGTACGAGTTTCGAATTCTTAGAGCGATAAGGAAGAACTCGAAATATTCTTCTATGCTAGATTACTTTTATTTATCATAACTTTTACAATATACAATACTTTAAAAGGAGAAATATTTTGTAGAAAGAATAACTGTAAACTGATTCGGAAATAGCTTGTGTTTCACAATTTCATTTATTTTCTTCGAAATCCATAAAAAAACCGATCTATCTTAAACAAAGGATAGACCCTGATCGATCAACTGTGATTTTAATCACGTAATACGGTTTGCTATTTAGGATATGACGGCAATGAATTTCCCGAAACGTAGCTATCTTGTTTATGTATGTACGTAAAGTAGCGAGAGGAATTCTGTTTTATTTATGTTCAAATTGTTGATGGAATAATATACAACCCTCTATGCATATATTCGGAAAGCTTAAGCTTAAATCTTTCAAACCATTTTGTGAAGTTGCTTTCACGTCGGATTTCACAAATATAAC